GCTATTTTTTGTATCTTATCAATGACCTGATTATTTAAGTTTAATGAACGAACTTTTGAAATATGTACTTTAGATCGAAAGTTCCAATGACGAAATCGTAAAGCGTCCTCAAAAGCGTGCAATTCTGTAGCTTTTATCAAGAAACCTTTGCACTGCTGTTTTTCTGGAATTCAAAAATAGCCTGCGAATTACGAAAAAAACACGTGGCTGCGTTTGAGGGCCTACTATTACCGCGCTCTGACCGTGGCTCAAATAAACTAGACCCCTCATGCTGAATAGAACACTCTTGACCAGGCGCTGTTAAAATATTCAAGTTTTTTTTTTTTTGCGTTTATTTTTTTTTATATTTTGGTAGATTTTTTCGACGCCCCCGAAAAACGAACAGTGTTAGACGTTTCTTGATAAAAGCACCGAATTCGATGTTTCTGAGGACGCTCTACAACTTTGTCATTAAAGCGATTGCTCAGAATTGAATATTTTGAATGTAATTTATCTAATCGTTAATTAGTTAGTTCGGCAAAGAACGAAAAGTACCCCGACTTGCTCCAAACAATGAACAATGCTATTCCTTTGGTTTTGGCTTACCAAAATACTTTTAAGCATTGGCTTAAGTTACGTGAAACATTCTGGTTACAAGGTATGTTTTTTTTTTTAAATCGAAAGAATTAACTGTCCCGTGAAGCGAGCCGACGTCGTCAGCTTTGAAGCCGAGCCAAACGGCACCTTAAATCCTTTCTTCAAGTAAAGCCAGCTCCCAGCTATAAGACCACGCGAAACGCCTAGACAACGGCACCTGTTTCCTCAATCCCAAAGGAGCGGGGTGAAGCTGATGAATTTCGGCTTCGGTCCCATTGGCTGGCGCTCGTCTTAATTTCAAGGAACAAAGTTCCCATTGGCCGCTGCGCGTCAGTTTTAATGACCGCCACCCCATGGCGCTGTGTGTCCGTCAGCGCGCCGTTAACATGGAGCGGCCGATGTCAGAGCTGCGAGGAGAGGGCGCGCTCTGCCATTGACGCAAATACGATGCAGAAGGAATAAGGAAGCGGAAGAATGACGTGCGTGCTTTCGCATTCACAACTCATAAGAAGTGCCTAGGTGCACCTCGAGCATTTTCTGTTTTTGTTCTTTGCTTTAGACATTCAAAGAAACTGTAAAAGCTCTGTGCAAATGAAGTATACGGACAAGGGGCCATAATATTGGGGGCTAATGGTAACAAAAAGTCTGATAAATAGGTTAAATGGTTCATTAGCCTTTCAGTTAGTCGAAAAAAACGCGGTTTTGATAATAATCGGTAAATTTTAGAAAAACCTTGGGTGCGTCGTGGTATGCGAAAGTTAACCCCAAGTCCGACCGTAAGCAACGCAACGATTAGAAGTAGCCAAACGTTACGATGCACTCAAAGCGCCTCATCACGGCATTTGTCGTATCTGTGAGTTTGTTATCGCCGGCCGTATCAATCCCGCACGAAACCAAAGCGCAAAATTAAGCCGCGTTCGCTGCGTGTGATTGGCCATATCGTCCTCTATACACGCAAAGCTTGACATTTCGACGACAGAGCCATAGAAGGCCCGGCCGCAGATTTGGAGCGCGAGGATCTGGTAGCACAGAGCATCAAAGAGCCATTTCTCGGGCAACCCGGCTCTGGGGGAACCTAGGGTGCCTTCACATTGAGGCACCCTAGGGCAACCTAAAGCCCCTTTATGTTTCAAAAGTACCGCAAGGTACGTCGAGGCACGAGGCGTGTGCAACGTGCAGCCCTTGGGAAGATCATGGTCGGCACAGTGCAGCACCACTGTAGCTGCACTTGGCTAGATTTCAGACGCCATGAATTTCCCAGAAGTGGCGCGCGGCACGTGCCTAGAGCATTTCTACAACAATGAATGGCGCCACATTTCCCAGGATAGAGGGGCTTTAAAGGACACATGCAAAGGAAAAAAACATATTTTTTAAACGGCTTGGATGGAAAAAGGACGCCATAAAACGATTTTACAACGAAGAAAAAAAATTTTTAGAGCTATATTTACGGCGCAAAACGAATTTGTAGTTGGCGCCCGCGGGCACCGCGGAAAAGTGGTCTGTATTTATCACGTGACTGGTCTTTATTTATCACGTGGTGCTTGCGCTCTTTCGGAAGCTTCCTATGGCCTCTAAAAGTAACTTATTCATCTTTGTTTGAGGTATAACAAAAAACCAAGACGAATAAGTAACTTTTAGAGCCCAAAGGAAACTCCTGAAAAAGCGCAAGCAGACGTGATAGACCTGTGCGCCGGTCAGACGACGGCGGCGGCGCCCCGAAGCAGACGAACTTGTGCGGCGGCGGCGACGGCGGCGTGGAGAAACGCGTTGAAGCGGCGTTCGCACAACGCTCAGCGTGCGGCGGCGACGCAGCGCGGCGGCGCGCGGGCCTACCACGTGACCAGCGGCGGCTCCCGCGAGCGCCAACTACAAATTCGTATAGCGCCGTAAATATAGCTCTAAAAATTTTGTTTCTTCGTTGTAAAATCGTTTTATGACATCCTTTTTCCATCTAAGCTGTCTAAAAAAATTTTTTTTTTCCTTTGCATGTGTCCTTTAAGGGAACCTAGAGTTCCTGTAAAGGCTCCCTAAGGGAGCCAGAGTTGCGCGTCTGTTTTCAACGTGCCGCCGCGCCGCTATTCGCCGAGATACGATCACGTGAGGAGCCGGATCAAGTGCCATGCAGGAAAGTAGACGTTGCTCGCGCCCCGGCGTAAGTTCCCCTGCTTTTGAGCGCGCCGCGCGCCTTGAACGCGCGGCGCCGCTATTCGCCGAATTCAGTCACGTGACGGGTCGGATCAACATGCCGTGCAGCAAAGACGGCTCTACGGGGATGAACGCGCAACTCTGGCTCCCGTAGGGAGCCTATACAGGAACTCTAGGGGCACCTGGACCTCAGCGCACAACCTTTGCAGTGGTGTGGACTCGACACACACTTGTTCGCTCGGGAGACGAATGTTTCGGCGTCCCGCCGCAGCGGGACACCAGTCACGTTGCTCTCCTCTCCTCCGTTGTCTGCCGCTCTACCTTTTCCATTTAGGCGGCCGCTTTTCGTGGTGATCTGCCAGGCTTTGTCAGTATATAGGCAGCTATGGATTGGTCCAGCCGCGGTAAAGACATGCGAATAAAAGCGACGAGAGCCTCGACGATGCGTTTTTTACGCCGCCTCGCTGCCTCCGTCGACCCGACGTATAGCTTTGACGGCGGTCGGACTTGACGTCAAACAAGAGCAGCCGACAACGCTCGATCAGCGCGGCACCTGAAGTGCGTGTTCGTTGACTACTAGAGTTTTCACGCGGTGTTCGAACATTTGCTGCGCAGTGTGCGAACACCGTAGGCACGTTAAACTTCCATTTCAGTCGTTTATGGGCAAACGCCGTTCTGGAAGCTTGACCTTTCTCCCAGAGCTTGATCCTTGATTCCAGCGCAGATGGTATTGCGTAGTCACTGTGCATATATATCCCGCGGCCGGGCATGAATACCGGTCTATTCGAAGAAATGTATTAAACTGGTGAAAATAAAGTCGTTTACGGCGTGACCGGACAGGGCTGTCCTCCCATTTCCGTTCCGCTAGCGGGCGTTCTGGCGTGTATCGCTCACTGGTAGTTATACAGCTGCACGCCGATATGACGCTCGTCCGGATGAAAGAGGGGCATAGGCTATGGCGCGAAACTCCGGAATAAACCCCGCGTTAAGGCTGGTTCACGCAGCCCCGATTCTTTTTCGTTACGTTACGTAAGCTTACGTACAAGCCTCCGGGATATCTCTGCTTCATATCAAGCGTGGCTACCAATTCGAGGAGGTATACCTGGCACGCGACATTCGAGACACGAATGTTTCGGTGACTTAGACGTAACGTAAGAAAACAACCCGTTTTTAAAAGTTTAACCGAGGTTAACTTCTTACGTTATGTTACGACGAGCTTTGTGTCTTTAGTTACCATGGTAACTCAACGTCCTAGCAGCTCGTCGTCACCGAAACATTCGTGTTTAGAATGTCGTGTGCCAGGCCATCTCCTTGGATTGGCAGCCACGCTGAATACAAAGCGCAGATTTCCCAATGTCTTTTCGTAACGTAACGTAACGTAAGAAAAGGGGGTCTGTGTGAACCAGCCTTTAGTCGGCACGCGTACTTTTGCTCCGCGTGCCTTAAAGGCCTACATTTATCGGTTCCTATGCAGGGACGAAGGTCCGGCACTTATGAAGGCGCCAGTAACTAAGCTGATGCCGTACACAAGTATTCATATTCAAATTAAAAAAAAAAAAGAGTTTGCCTTGATGCCAGCAAACAAAACAAATTTTGCCCCACAAAAAAAAAGAAAAAAACGAAAAACACACGCACTAAAAAGCACTAAACTGGGAATACCAATAAAAACCTACGCCTTCGCTTGAATTCAATTCCCTGACTTTACTTTTCATACACTGGCGTATTTTTCGCACTATAGTCCTCAAGCATTCCGTTGTACTTCCGGACCCGCTGTATGGTACGCACCTGATGCATCGTGCGTACCGGTTGCATAGTGTTAGTAAAAAATTTCTCATCCACACCGCGCTTTAGAAAACAAATGCTTTATTCTCGCATAAAGCAGCTTTTATCATGAAAAAGTCGCCAGTAACAAAATTGCTCATTCACAATTTTTGTCGTGTCTTTTCATATTGAACGATCTTAAAAAACAAATTCTTGTATAGTCGGCTTCTGTGGATAAGGCGCACGACCTGAGGTGTCAACACTTCATGGAGAGTACACTCTCGATTAGGCTAGCCCTGCAGCTGTTAAATTTCTAAAATGGACGATGTGAACAACCCTGTCGGTGGGAACATCAAAAAGAAAGGTTGTGCCTTTTGCGAGATTAACTTTTTCATTTTGTCGTTTATCGCGTGGGTATGATTTTTCCAGCACAGCTGGGCCGAACGGGCAGGTGGTTGGCGTCGGCGTGGCATGATGTTTGGTATGGGTATAAAAGTAGTTCCTGAGCAGTTGAGTCTGCGGCCTGAGAGAATTGTGACCTCAGAAGAATTCCACCGTCAAAATTTTATTTTAGCTCAGGCTCAAAATGGACGCTGGGGAACCGTTTGAGGTGAGTCGCCCGACCGTCTTATTCGTGAATGTTGACATATATACAAACATACGAACCCGCATCAGCGCCGAGTTAGGTGCTTCACAAAAAAGCTCAGGTTCTGGAAAAAGTAGAAAAAATATGCATTAAAAAAATTACTGTTTTGCTGTCTTTTTCTTTTCTTTATGTTAATTTATCAATGAAGCAAATGTATTGCGAAATGAACTAAAAACGCCCCTTGTCTCCAGTCTTTTCCTTTTCCTGTTTTGAATTAAATGTGAAGAAAGTCAGGCTTCAATGGCAAACAATCTTAATATTCGAAGGTTTTATATGCATATATATAAATCGCTTCGCAAGATATTTTTTTTAATCTTTAATATTTTGTGTCAAAACAGAAACCTTAAAAGAACGCATAAATGAAAGAGCTTCTATGTTTCGGAATCTACTCGGTTTCTTCATGCCGGGTTCGTATTGTGGCTAGGCGAGCGTACATATAGACGTACGGATAAGAGAGGCCCAAATGGCGTTACGCAACACAAATATATCAAGTCTGGAAAGGAGTTAAAACCGATAACTCATGTTCATGGTGGGAGCAGATAAAATGGAGTAACAAACATAAAAATAAGTATTCCTCAATGCAAATAGCACAAACTAAAACGCTGCTGTAGGAGTTTCATCCGTCCGTCGTCTTCCTCGCGTGCTGTGCGAATTCACTGCTTTCCCGTTTTCTTTGCTGGACACCGCATGTCTGGAATACCACTGAAGAAACAATCTCTGCGCTTCCCCCCGCCCCAATTATTGTCACATTAGCCCCATTACACGATACTTTGGCAAACTGTAGAGGCTGCGGACCCTGCGACCCAATAAGAGCATCGGAGCAAGGCACGTGTTAACACTCCATGGTCGAGGACACGGATCCCTCGTTACCAACACAGCAACCGCGCCGTCCGCGACAAAAATTAGTTCTAGGCAATTTTTTAAACATTTTTTTTTTAACGACGATTAACTTCTAGCGATTTCATCTCTTCGAAAATATATATAAAGAAATAAGAAAAACCGGACTGAAAGGGCTGCGGCCGCCACTCTGAGTGTCCAAGAAATGCGTTAGCATTTCGCAAAGCTGTTATACAGGGTGTTTCACGAAAAGTGGACAAATTTGATATTGCGAAAACTACTCATCGCAACGAAAAAAGGCTTGTGTCATTTTGGTCTTGGGCGAAGGGCCTATTTAGGAAAATTATTAAATCCCAGATAATTAGATTGTTCATTTTTTCTGGTAATTAACTTTTTAAATAATGTCTTTAAGGGCATGGTTTCAATTAGAAAATTGCTCAGCATCATCGAAAAACACTAAATAAACAAATTGCAGAACGAGAGAAGGAACGCGCAGCATTTTACGGCTTTCTGAAAAACCGCACAGGATTCGACGGGTTTTTTAGCTTCGTTTTGCAATCGGAGCGCATCTCGGCCCCGACGGCACCGCGCCCTGTGCAGAAATAGCGAAACCAACCTCTGCTGCGCATAGAGTTATTACAATAAGCGCTAGAGGCTCAGGTGGCGCTAGTGTGCTGTTGCATTTTGAAGCAGATAGCAAGCAGTCAAAAATTGACTTCCGGTAATGCATTACTATGCGAAAAAGCGAGTGCATTTTCTCTCTGCGCTCGATTATAAGAAAAAATATCACGAATAATTCGTACGTGCTAGGCATATTAGAACAATCCTCAGTAACGCAGACGAAATAATTGGTCAGTTACAGCATTCTTATTTGAAAATCGCGGCATGAAAAACGGTGTTAAAACCGCTTTGTACGTGTATTTATGTGCACTGTCGGACACAGTTAGCGCGAACACGGCGTCGACGCTTTCCAGCATGGGGGATATACGTGCCAAACAAACGAAGGACATGTGAAAAACCAAGAGAGACGGCAAGAACTACGCATTAACACTGGATAAGACCCTCCTTGTGCACGCAGACGATAAAAAAAAATTCAAAACCGCGTAATGCAGTCATATTTGCAATAAATAAGTACTGCTTTATTCGCTCTGCTCATGTATATATGCGAACATGCTTTTTCTGGGTTCTAATCGTCACTGCACGCTTAAAATCTTTGCAAATAGGGGAAGCCAGGGAGCAGGTGCCCAATACAAACTGCCCGACATAGGAAATAATAAAAAGACACACCTTTCGTAGCTCACGTGCTTTATTTCTTTGTGTGTTCGAATGTTTCTTTAACCGATCGTAAAGATGCACGACAGAGTCATTTTCATCCAATGCCTTGGACACACTCTACATTACTTTCGATCTTTAGTTCGCTTAGAATCGTCGCTTGTTTTCACATACCTTTGTTGAAACAGAGGTTTGGGCCTGAAATAGAGCGAAGTTTAACATCGTTCAGTGGTAAAGAAAAATGCTGTAACTAAAGCAATTACACTTTCACAATACCAATAAAGGTACATACTATCCAGTACAACCGAAATGACAAAAGTTATTCGTGTTATTTTCCGGCGAAGAGGAATACACAGGGGGGCTGGAAATGTAGACTGCATGCTGCCTGCTTCAATTTGCAACCGGAAGTCCTGTAGACACTAGCGCCAGCTGAGCCCATAGCGTTTATTGTAATAACTCTATGCTGCTGCGCTGTCCTCGCGCAACGCAGCAGAGGCTGGTTGCACTGTTTCTGCAAGGGGAGCGCTGCCGTCGGGGCCGATGTGCGCTGATTGCAAACCGAAACTTAAAAACCCATCGAATTTGTGCGGTTTTTTAGAAAGCCGTAAAATGCTGCGCGTGCCTTCTATCATTCTGCAATTTGTTGATTTAGTTTTTTTTCGATGACGATGAGCAATGTTTTAATTAAAACCATGCCCTTAAACGCAATATTAAAAAAATAATTGCGCGAAAATAATTAACAATTAAATTATCTCGAACTTGAATAATTTTCCTAAATAGGCCCCTGGTCTAGAACCAAAGCGACACAAACCTTTTTTCAGTGCAATGCGAAGTTTTCGCAATATCGAATTTGTCCTCCTTTTGAACCCTGCTGTATATAAGAAAGTATTGTTAATGCAGCATCTCCACACTTTTCAGCTCGGTAAACATTCCCGAAACCCTGGTCCTCCATGGTGCAAGCAGATCAGGTCACTTAGCTTGTCAATAAAGAACGTGCACGCGATGCGCGGAAAACGACAGAGACATCTCGTTATTGTGCACACGTGTTGTACCGTTGTGCAAAAAAGGCCGAGGTCACTGCGCGCTTACTGCCCGGTGACATGGTAAGACGACTGAGCGTCAAGAACGGCGTGGTAGGCTGAAGAACGGAACCACTGACCGTGTGTGTCCACAGGTCTCCAAAGTCAGTGGAAGGCTCTTCCATGGGCGTCCAAATCACGCATCGGCGCCCGGCCGCTTATATCGAAAGACTAGATGATAGGACGCATAGTAACGGCGGCCTCACAAGAATGGCTGGTCATAGAGAGCGACGGCGTGGAGTAACACCTAGCAACCGAGCGGAGCACGTGGAGGGAAACCTCGCGCTGCAAAAGGCAGGGATCCTGGGTTCGATCCCAGCCCTTGCCCGTTTCAATCTGGATGAGCATCGTACCGGCGTGCAGTCCTATATCTCCACTGCGTGGTGCACGTAAAGACACCAGGCTACCGGTCGTGCCGCACTGGCTAAATTGCTCATCTTCAGCTGAGAAACAAGTCGACCGTCGAGGCAAACTAACTTCAGGGTGTATAAACATACGCAAACCAATTTTTTGTCCACAATTACGTCATCAAGCTTTGCGAAGGCAAGACTGAAAGAAATGGTTTCCTTTTATCCTAGCACATTCACCGCGACCAAGAAGATTGTGAATAAATGGCGATTTGTGCGAGTCTATTTGGGCTAGACTAGGACCAGTAAGCCTCTGTAAAGTCATGAACATACCAACCCGATATCGTTTCAAGACGCCTTTAAACTGAAACCGCAGCCGATGCAACAAGTACGAGAGCTCGAGGTCCCAGCTTTGGATGTCTCAAAGTTAGGTACGCGGGCTAGCTTGCGCTTGTAGCTGCTTTGGCAGCAGTCTCAGCTTAAACTGGCACTGACAGGACAAAATCATATATCTTTTTAATCTGAAACCATTAAAAACGTTGCCTGAGATTACCCTCAATTCGAAACTTAGAAACTAAATATTCGTAAAGTAAAAAAAAAATCCTAATATAGAATTTGAAGCTCCCGCGCCATCCACGCCAGTGCAGTGACGTCAAAGATTTGAGTCGCCCTGCAACACGAGTTTCCCTCACGCCTCCGAGCCGTCATGACCAGAAGTGTCGTGTTCGCCAGCGTCCCGCGATCAACCGCTGTGCTCCGTGCGTGCCGCCTATCGCTGTGAGCAGACGGCGCTTCACTCTCCAGTCCGAAGTTCTCGTAAGGCCCTTTCAGCAATCTCAAACTTTTTTAAATGGTGTGAGATCGAAGAGAACGCGTAGTAGACTTTTATGAGCGACGTGAGGGGCCACATCGCGCCGGTTCTGCGTGAATGGCTGCCCCTGGCGTGGTCAGAACCGAAACTTCGGTACACAGACAAAAAAATTCCGTTGTTTTGAACCTTTGGCGATTTCTTTCTCGAAGCCTGAGGGGTTGTCGGGTACCTGAAAACAAGAGCTTCGTCCGATTCCCCGACTCACCGATAATCCTCAGTGCTACATGTGCCGACCGCCGCCAGCGCCGCAATGCTTGCCGAGGGAGGATAAAAAGCCGGGAGGCGGCATCACTCCGGACTCCGATGTTAGGTATTTCAAAATTGCGTTGCGCTGCGTTAAAAAAAAACATGGCTTACGAATGCTGATAGGAAACATTCTACAAATGGCGCTGACAAAGCTTCCAAATTTCATAATCAAATACGACACAAATAAAATGAAGCGAGAAGGTGAGAAGAGGGAGACAAAAACGCCTTAGATGAAAAAGCGTGCGCGCTTGGGGACGATTGTCTTTGCGTTTTGTTATTTTCCTGCGTGTCTATGACTACAACTTGCATTGT